CGTGATGGAGGACCTCAGGTCGTGATGGAGGACCTCAGGTCATGGTGGAGGACCTCAGATCATAGTGGAGGACCTCAGGTCGTGATGGAGGACCTCAGGTCATGGTGGAGGACCTCAGATCATGGTGGAGGACCTCAGATCATGGTGGAGGACCTCAGGTCATAGTGGAGGATCTCCAGTCGTGGTGGAGGACCTCAGGTCGTGGTGGAGGACCTCAGATCATGGTGGAGGACCTCAGATCATGGTGGAGGACCTCAGATCATGGTGGAGGACCTCAGGTCGTGATGGAGGACCTCAGGTCATAGTGGAGGATCTCAAGTCGTGGTGGAGGACCTCAGGTCGTGATGGAGGACCTCAGGTCGTGGTGGAGGACCTCAGGTTGTTGTGGGGAAGCCGTAGAGGAGGGACTCAGGTCACAGTGGCAGGAGTACATGGCAGATATGGTTACTTCACAGAAGACCAGAAAAGCAGAGAACATGAGCAGAAACACAGGTCTTGTGTCACCCATAATGGTCCACTTCTGCCAGCTTGGCCCCCCTCCTAGAGACCCCACAGCCTTGAAGAACAGCACCTCAATCTGGGGAACAAGACTGTAAAACTTGAGCCTGTGGGGGGCCAGCTCAGAATCAGACCCTAACAGTGCCAACCACACTCCTTTCTCCAGCAGGGTCCTTCCAACCCCTCCCTAAATGCCCGGGAAGTAATCCGCTGTTTCCCTTGCCTGTCTCGAGCCTTTGTGAGCTCCTTGCTCCTGCCAGCCCTCCACACTGGCATCTCCCCTCATCTCTCCCTGCTGCAGACCAAGGCCGCCAGAGGAAATTCATTGGGTTTTGCACACTGCCAGCCCCTGTGACATCACAGTGGGACCCTCTGACAGGTGTAGACTGCAAACTCAGTGGGCAGCGAGTTTCTGGAGGAGACCATGGACCAGTCCGTGGTTTCACAGTGGCTTCTTCGTAAAATGACGATGACACATCTGCCTCAGAGTGAGGTTCCACAGAGGGCCTCCCCAGGTTCTGTGCTTGGCTTCAACCCCTGCACCAGCTTCTTGTGTAGATCCTGTTGTACAGATGGGGAAACTGAGGCACAGAGTGCTCAGGAGATGCTATCAAATGCTCAGACTTAGACCCTGGCAAAGCCCTGTCGGGAACTCCATCTTAACCATAGGTGTGTGTGCTGGGGGTAGGTAGGCTAACTGCATTGGTGCTTAACCCTCCTGGAAAGGGTCAGGGGCTCCAAAGCTGGGTCAGTGCTGCTACTAAAGCTGGACTCAGGGTGGCTTCTCTTGGGGCTCCACCGCTTGGTGAGACTCTGGTTTTGTTGTGGGCGTCCAGCCTAGCCTCTTGAGGCTACGTCTCTGTAACCCTATTCTCTTTCCCTGAGGTTAGGTTAAGTAACGTGACCAGTTCTAGCCAAGGGCCAGTGAGGATTCGCTGCTGGCTCACCAGTCAGGCCCCTCTTGCACTGTCCCCTCGTCATACCTGGATGAGACACCTGCCCAAGTGATTTTGTCCTCTCCGCCCAGGCTGAGCCTGGGGGACTGGGGACGGGTGAGGGGTTTCACAGAGAAAACACACACACACACACACACACACAGGCGTTACTTATGAGATTCCGTGGACCAGGCTGGCGGGCCCTCCACGGAACAGAGAAGACCTAGGAGTTTCATGAGAGGGGATGGCCGGAACCCGGAGGCAGCTGGGTGGAAGGTGGTGGAGGGACTGTGCGTGGAGCCTGTACTGGACACTGAGCAATGCAGGGCAGATCTAGCGGATGACACTGGGCCACTAACGCTGCTTCTTCAGGGGCCAGGGAGAGGCAGCGGGGAGACAGGAGGCCAGAGTGGGCGACACCACCCTCCTTCAGCTTCAGTGATGAAAGCTGTCCTGAGAATGAAGGTCAGCCTTAAAGAGAACACAAGCCCTGTTCCGTCTGCGTCAGAGTCCGAGGTGTTAGTTCTTCCTCTGGACAGACTAGCAGTCCCTGGGAAGAGGCCAGTCACCTGCTGGAATGCAGGGACCGGCAACTTCCCTCCCTCATCCTGTCTCTGACCCGCCTGAGGGTCAGCTGCTTCCTCAGTGTGACTGTGGCCTCCACCTAAGGCCTTTCTTCCGCTGCCCTGGGGCCTCTCCAGTCTCGGGTCTTCCTGTGTTCAGAGGCCAGGCCTGCCCAGCCCTATGAACTCTTGACTTATGTCCTGGAATCTGTCTTTTCTCCCTGGCTCCCTCCACGAGCCCCACCCATAATGTGCTCCCCATCTGCTTCTGTTCCTGGTGAGTGTCTCTGGCTCTCTCCCCGACCTGCAGCTGTACACGTGGCGGCATGTGGCTCACACTGAGGGGCCTGTGGGGCCGGACAGAAGCGCACTCAGCAGCCGTTTATCCAACAGGCACATGCTCTTCAGCCAGAGCTGAGCCCTCCCCTCCCCCACACTATCCTGTGGACACATGGGAGTAAAGCCAAGGCTCACACAAACGGAAGAACTAGCCCAGACCCTCTGGCAGGGAACACTGAGGTGATAGGCTCTCACAGGGTGGGCCTAAAGGGGAAGTAGCCCCCTCAGAGGCCCCAGTCTGACTCCAGAGCCCATGGGAGCTGGGACCTGTGCTCCCAACTTCTTGAAAGCTACTCACACGTGCTTTGTATTTTCTGGAAAAAGAAGCCCTTACTTCATGACCCCCTATTGTGCGCACTCCTAAGTTCGAAGAGGGCTTCTGCTGCCATTCCCATGTGTACCTTGAGCCAAAGTCCTCGGTAGGGCAAAAAGATTTGGGATCAGATGTTAGGAAGACAATGTGGGGTCCAAAAAGGCTAAACATCCTCCATCCCTCCAGTCAAACAAGACTGTTCTATGGAAAGCCAGGACAGGCAGACAGGCAGACAGACAGGCAGCAGGCCTCTTAGACAAAAGTGTTCAGGAGTCTGGTAGGCAGGGGCTTTGTCTGGGCTGGGTACCTGCCTGTTTCTGTTCTCTTTCCAGACTTCCCCTCTTCTTCAAAGTCCCATGGGAATTTGCTCTCCTCATGGCATTTGCCATCCTCTCAATTTCTGGGGCTCACTTCCACCATGGGCCACAGAGATCCCTCTTGTGGGGATCTTTCTGCACCACCAGGCCCTGTGAGCTACCTCCTAACGGCCCCGGCACCAAGGTCAACCCCAGGCCAAGCTTCACACATGATACCTCTCCTGTCTAATCCCTTCCAGTTCACTGGTTCTCTGTCTGTCTGTCTGTCTCTTTTTATTTTACTTCATTGACACAGTGCCTATGTAGCCCTGGCTAGCCTGGAACTTTCTATGTAGACCAGGCTGACTTCCAACCACAGATATCCCCCTACCTCTGCCAAGTGCTGGGGTCAAAGGCATGCACCACCATGCCCAGATCTCTCTGCTGTTACAAACACAGATCTCTCCACAGCCCTGGCTTGGACAGTCTCCAATTTTTGGAACCCCTCCCTTATTCCCACCATGCCTGCCCAGTTAGGAAAGTCTCTGTCAGCAAGGTCTAGGGGCTCCTGGGACTATGCAACTGAGTCAGGAACACGGAGCGCAAGCACCGTTGGAGACCATCTCGTGGCCACTTCTGAACCGGGGCTGGGAGGAAGTACATGTGGGTGGCAGAACAGCAGGGTGAGGTGGGGTGCTGGGTGAGCACTGCCTGGAAATATCTGTGGCTTTGACTTCAGTGTGCGAAGTCTGCAGGTGCCTGGCACGAACTTTCCAGAGCTTCAGTCAGCGGACACAAACTCTGCCAACATACAAGACAGTGGATCCGGGCTCTTTGTGTCAAGAGCTTGGCACACCGTGAGGTCAGCTGTTTGCAGATCACTGAGAAGCATACGGGTATAACGGGAAACCTCCCTTCCGAGTCCTCATGGGTCCCACAGAGCACACTCTGCCACTGAGTGGGCTTGGGTGCCAAGCAGGTGCAGACGGTGTGTTCTTTGCAGTATCCACCTTCCACAGGGTGCATAAGAGCCACCCGCAGTGATGGTGGCACAGAGCAGGGCACCAACTCCCGACCTTCCACCCACAGCAGCAGACAAGGAGAGGGGAGGCTGGGAGTCACTTTAATAGTGTAGGCAAGGGACTGCACTGATCAGTATGGCTGCCCCCAACAGAACATCCTCACTGAGGCATGATGAGTTTTTCCAGCTGTTTTCGTTATAAGCATGAGACAGAAGTGTGGGACTCCGAGGTCTCTCACACAAGTGAGGTACCGTGGTTGGAGCGTGGTGAATATGGTCTGTATGACAGGATCTAGAATCACCTAAGACACGTGTCTGGGAATGCCTGTGAAGTTCTTTCTAGACTATGCCGGCTGAGGTGGGGCGATGATGCCCCTTACCTGTGGGTGGCACCATCCCATGGTTGGGGGCCGGTATTGAGTATGAAGAATTCAAGATGAGCACCAGGCTCTGCCCCTCTGCTCCCTGACTGCAGATGTGACGTGACCAGCTGCCACACGCCCTGGCTGTCATGTCATCCACACCACGGTAGACTGTACCCTCAACTTCCATGAGTAGCTTCCGTCACCGTAACAAGACAGTAGCTAGTACAATTGGTGTGGCACTTTGGCGTTCCCGGCTGGAACGTGCATTTCTGGATGGTCTCTAAAGTAATAACGGACACGCTGCTGCAGGGAGCCACACAGATGTTGTCCAAGAAGGACCATGGCACCTGCCAGGCGACATGACATCTAGTCCTAAGGCTACCTGTAGGGTAAACCATTGTCACCTCCACTTTGCAGGCAGTGAAGTTGAGGCTCAGAGATGTGGGGACTTAACCGGATCCCGGCTGACTCTCAGGGGGTCCCACTAACTCCAGGACTCCGGATGTGTGAGCAACTGGCTAGAGCTGATTCTTTGCGGCCAGAGAACATACAGAGTGAAGCACTTAGCAAGGTTTGGTTTCTGTGGAGCCCTGCATCTGCCCACAGCAGGCCCAGAGTGGCTGCCTTCCAAGGCAGGAGAAGGGCACAGGGTAAAATTTACCAGGCTGAATTGCCAAGAGAATCCAGGATTTTTATTCACACTGGCCAAGCAGGCAAGGACAGTCGGAATGAGGGTGGTTTTGTAGAACCAGTCTTCACAGCACGTGGCAGGCCTTGCCCCTGTCACCCTGCCATGGTTCCCTTGGCTGTAAGCACCAGAGATGCCTGCCCAGGGCCAGCCCTGCCCTGGGTCTACAGAAGCACCGATGGACGGAGGCCACCTTCCCCCAAGAAGCTCAGGCAGCCTGCAGTGGAAGAGGGGGAGGTTACATGGCCACCAGGCCATGCACCCTGGGGAAAGCATGGAGGTCTCGGTGTCCCTGCTTCTCCATGACTTTCCCTAGGGCCTGTCTTGGCAGCATGGCTCAGAGAAGGCCCCCAGATAACCTGAATGTCACTGGCTTCAGTCCCTAGACCTGCTTTGGGCTGAAACCTGTCATCTCTGTCCTGCCTGGCTCCCCATGATGTCTGCAAGGGCAACACGGGCAGGTCAAGCTCTGAGGGGAGCCACCTCCTGGGTGTCCTTAGCACCGTCTTAAGCCCTGTGTGACACTGGGCTTTTGAGGGGCCAGGAGGGTCAGAGAGCACCTGGCGTATGGTCTGACCATGCCTACAGTTCTGGGAAACGAGGAAAGCAGGGCAGGAGGAGCCCTCAAAGGTCAGGGAGGATAGTGGGCTCCAACTCACTCCCAGGCACCTTTCACCCCGGTCCCTCCAAATTCCTGAGTCCCCTCCCAGCCAAGACTATACCTAGGGTTTGCTTTAATGCTGGGCACCAGGCAAGAAGGCAGAGAATGGGAAAGGAACATCATCCCTACCTCCAGAACCTGTGCCACCGCCGGAGCAGTGGAGAGTGGCCCTCAGTGCCTAACCACCCAGCCTAGAGGAGCGCCCGGAACACGCTCAAGTCTTTGTACCCACTTGAGCGCAGCCCAACCCTGTCCAGGCCACTGGGCATTCACCAGGGGAGGGACGGGACCTAGGTCTGAGTAGTCTAGGCTTCCCTCAGGCCTGGGACCAAGTGAGTGTTCAGCATTTGATGATTCTCTACATAAACAGTGGGTAGAAAAGAGGATGGGGGAGGGGCGGGGAGGGCAGAGGTGGGGTAGGCCCAGGGTGAAGAGAAGAACCTGAGGCTTCAGGAAGAATGCTAGAGTTCCGGGGGGGAATTCCAGAAGTTTGGGAAGTCTGAGAATGCCAGGAATATTCTAGAGAGCCCCATCCCTCAAGCATGGGGCCCATAGACCGGTGGCATCAGCATTACTGAGGAAATTGCTAGAAATGCAGAATCCTGGACACACCCCCAAATGCCAAGCCAGAATCTACCATACCAAAAAGCCCCCAGGAATTAACCGCACGGTGGTGTGTGTGAGGGGAGCCGCCTTAGAGGCTGAGAAGGTTCTGGAATGCTTAAGGCCAGGGTCTCTGAAAATGAAGCGGGGGAGGGGGTGGAGTGGGGGGGTGGTGACAGACTACAAGTGATGATAATAAGCAATGGACACCGGCTGATCCAGCCCCGGCCGGGGAGCCTGCAGGACTTGGGCTAGCCACCAGCCACCACCCTCCCCGCAACATGCCCAGCTGTGGAATCGGCCAGGGCAGCTCAGTCCTCCGCCTTGATCAGGTGGCCGCTGAAGGTGATGTAGGTGTCCACATCGTCGCTGTAGATGGCGTTCTCCCGCTCGCGCTTGAAGAGCCGCACCCACACGTGGTCGCCGGGCTCCAGCGGCAGCATCACGCTCTGGCTCTGCATGATGCTGCGCTCGCTGGGCTGTGCGTACAGGATCACGGCCGCCTGCTCGTTGTGGACGATGTGCACGTAGGTCTCCTTGTAATTCCAGCTGTGCACATTGAGGCTGAAGAAGTAGAGGCCACGCAGCGGGGCCCTGAAGCGGCCGGTGGCCATGTCGAAGTGGCCGTCGGTGTTCACGAAGACCCTGTCGAACAGCAGTGGGAGGAAGTCCTCGCTGCTGTGCAAGGCTGTCTTGCGGCCCACAGAGAAGGCGGAGTAGTGCGTCTGGCATGGGCTACCAGGGTTGCCTGCCTGTCCCTTGTCACCTTTGATGCCCTGAGAGCCACGGTCCCCTCGGGTACCATCCTTGCCTGGCTTCCCTGGTGTTCCTACAGGACCTCTGTCCCCTTTGTCGCCTGTGAGGACATGAAGGGGAGAAGTTAGGACAAGCACCCTGGCCTAGCTAAGCCCTCATGTTTGGAAGCCATTGGGTCCAGAAAAGGAGCTGGTGTTTTGTTGAGCACCTACTGCGTGCTGGGCATTTGCCACCCTAAACGCCCCTCTGCAGAAGTGAAACTGAAGCCATTTCCTAGACCCAGGCTGCGTTCTGGCAAGGAGGGCATGGCAGGCTTCCAGGAGGCCAGCAGGGAGGCAGGGCAAGGTAAGACACACTTTGCACCTCTTGTTAGAGAGGAATTTAGGGGGTCTTGGCCTGGAGACTTGGGGGGTCTTGAGTGTCTAGGGTGTACCTTAAAAGGGCAATGAGGTGCACATGAGCCCTCACTTGGCAGGTAGAGGGCGGGACAGCCACTCAGCAGGGCCCAGCCCATCTCCACCCTCCCTGACACGTACTTTTCCATCCCTGACTTCAAGCTGAATCTGAGCATAGACAAGACACCCCCCCCACCAAAAGACACCTGACTCCGCATATTTCCCTGGTGAGGCTGTGTACTTCCTCAGGTCTCCCGGACCATGGTGGTGGTAAAGTCGGTGGGGGGGGGGGTAGAGAGAGAGGAAGACACAGGTCCTCAAAGGCAGACCAAAGGAAAATGGAGTGGGGGTGTCCATGGCTGTGGGCTGACTCCACAAATGTCAGCACCCAGCAAAAGAGCCTGTGAGCGCCTGCTCCACCAAGGCCATGGTGGCTGCGGGGAGGGGACTGCTTTCCTTCTACACATAAGCTGGCAGGAGGCCCAGAGAAAAGCCAGCCTGACCCGCAAAGCTTAAACACAGGGCTCCAGATGCCACCTGGGCAGCCTAGGAATCATCCACTTCCGACAGCCTGTCCAAGGGCCACACGGGGCTTAAGATGGACAGTCACACACAGCAAGGTGTCACCAGGCCTGGTCCCCTCCACTGTCGGATGCCTGAGGTTTCCCTGAGTGAGGCAGGAAGACCAGGCAAATAGAATGTATGGATGTATGGACGGGAGTCTAGGGTGTATGCAGGCTGGCTGTCGGAGGAGAGCGCCCTGCTCTGCCTGTGACATGGAAGTGACCCCGGGAGAGCCCCTACTGGATACTATGTTTCCCCGTCTACACTGTGGGAGGAATGAACTAGTCTCTCGTTGGGGCTTGGTGAGCAAAAGCGGGTCTCAGTGGTGTGGCCAGGGCAGTGATGGGTCCCCTCGCTGTGGTGGAACTAAGTCCCTTACATCTGAGGCTATATTTCAGAGAGCCGCCACCCCCACCCCCAGCCACAGAGCTCCCCCCCCGGGACCTCTGTTCCCGCCATGTGCCCCACACATGGAGGCCAGGTCCTCTTTCTGCTCAGCATCCCCTAATCCCGAGGACAGAAACCTACTTCCTGGTGGTAGCTGGTGACCCTGTGGGCCCGCATCTCCTCCCTGTGCCATCTCCTTTCACAGCCCTGCTGAGAAGCCCCTAACCCTGTGACCTGAGGCTTACACTTGACCTTGCTGGGAGCCCTGTGTGCCTGCCGCGCATGTGCGCTCTTGCTGGGAGCCCTGTGTGCCTGCCGCGCACGCGCGCTCTTGCTGTGTGCCCTGTGTGCCTGCGGCGCTCTTGCTGCCTATGCCCCACACTTCCCGCCAGGACCCCTCTGCCCACATTTTGGACCCCAGGGCCTTTCCCGCCACCCGCTTCATTAGCTTGGGGAATCTGTTCTTTGCACAGCCCCTGCCCACTGCCTGTTCCTTCGCTCTGAACTCAGAACAGTCCTTGCACATTCTAGGTGCTGTGCATATGCAGAACCAAGGCTGGCAAGGGCTGCCCTGCTTTCTTCCGTCCCTCCCTCCCCACCCCACCCCACTTCTGCCCACGGCCTGCCCAGTGTGAGAACTCACCCTTCAGGATGGTAATGTTGATGTAGGGCCTGACCTCGGGCAGGACATAGGGGAAGGAGGGGGAGGCAGGGGACAGTGGTTCCTCAGGGTCACAGCATCGCTGACAGCCTTTGGTGAGTTGGGAGGCCACAGGTGCCCCAAAAGTGGGCTCCTCTGTGGGGACTCCAAACACAAGAGGAAGCAGAAGTACCACGGAGAGGGAGCCCAGGCTGTCTGTCCCCATGATGACCTGGAAGAGACAGACAAGTTTGACTCAGTATATCTGGCATGTCAATGCCCAGGGAAAACACTATCTCCTGTAGCCGAGGCAAGTCTGGGGCCACCTGGAAAGCGAGTCTGAGGGCCCTAGACTGGCCACTGAGCCTCCTGGCATCTGTCTGTTGTGGCTCTCACAGTCTGGGAAGAACAAAGCCCCTACGGACACCCTCGGAGAGCACACACCAGGCACCCATGTCTTTACTGGGTCACCAAAGAAGAGGCCAGATGTCCACGTGGCTAACCAAGGAGATGGAGAAGCTCTGTTTGGCCCCTTCATTTCTGAAGAGCATGGCTCCCGCCGCCTGCAGGCACCATAGGCAATGGCGGGAGCTTGGGTCCCCGAGGACCAAGGCATTGAATCCTGTGGGCCTCTTTTGTGCAGAAGCAGCTGGTACCCTCTCGAAGAACACGTCAGAAAAATGGGATGTCCCCTTTGGAACAACACAAGGTTGAGGATCTGCAGCTTAGCAGAGCTTGCCCTTCTGGTATCTTGGTACCCATCTTTACCCAGGAGCCCCACAGAGAAAGCCCAGGGTTCAATCATTGGAAGATGGTTGTGTCACTCATGACAGGCCTACCAATCGGCTGCTAAGGTGGTAAACTGAAATTCAGCGGGGGGGGGGGGACACGGACACAAAGCCCTGGAAACTCAGAGGTGTCACAACTGGTGAGGTGGTGAGGTTTCACCTTGGGCCTTGAACATGAAGGGGTCCAGAGTTTCCAAAGAGGGGCAGGAAGTCGGCTGGACACTACAGAGGAGCCTGGATGGTGGGCAGGAAGCCCACAGCAGGCCTTTGAGGTGGTAACCGGCTTGACAACTGCCGCCACCCGATTGTCACAGATCAGAAACTGCTATTGAAACCAGGCTGGTTTTTACACCTCTGGCGTCACTTTGTTTATTTCCTTTTTGTTCCTCTTTAACATTTAGTGCAATTCAAAAATATTTTTCTGTGGTTAATACAGGCTGAGAAGTTAAAATTATTCTTCTAGAAAGGCTACGAAGAGGGGCTTCGTGTTAAAGGGACAGAGTCTCTTGGGTCTTCTCCCCAGGGGCCAGGGTAACGTCAAGAAGTATTCCCAGAGACACCCTGATTCTGGAATGATTCTGTCCACATTGCTGGGTCTTGCTGGTTCTGCTCCACTGGGCAGGAAAACCCCTCAGAGACCAGCTCCAGGTTGCAGCAAACACCCATCCCTTTATTCCAGCCAGAGATGTGTCTCACCAAATATGAATAACACAAGCGACCTAGGCTTGTAGCTTAATCCTCCTGGTCTTCATGCTCCCTCATTCAGACAAAATGCCAACATGTCTTCCTTGCCAGGCTATATGGATGACTTACATGCTTGGAAGCTGCCTAGCTTGTCATATACTTCAAAGAGTCCATTCCTTCCTCTGCTTGGTATAGACCTCATCCTGGTGTCTATCGCTTACAAGGCACAGAACAACTTCTGGCAGGTCAGCAGGGTTTGGAGACATTTCTGTTTCCTATTGGTCTGGCCCCTGGGGAGTAGGAGGCTCAGAGACACAGAACGGGGCAGCGTGGGGGTGGGGGCTTAGGGACAGGAAGCAGGAAGCAGGGCCAGCTCCCTGGAAGCGGCACTAAGGAGCCCTAACAGCAGCTAGGATCCCTGGCTGGCTCCTGGGAGGGGACCAGGCAAGGATTTAAGGTTGGGGAATCACACCAACCACAGAGTGGTCTTTAGGGTTCCCACCACCTCTGCTAAAAACCAGAGCCTCTCAGAGGTGGCTGAGCTACCGTTCTCATCCAGGCTGGCAGGGAAGTGGTTAGGGGAGGGGGAGTCACTGCAGGAGCAGATAAAAGCCAGGAGCAGCGCAGGCTGGAAGAGGAGAGCCTCCGAGAGGCTGGCTAAGCCAGAGGGAAAGAGCGGAACAGAGGAATCTCAGACTGACCCCAGCCCCCTGCCCAGACAAAAGCAGAGAGGCCTCCAACCACTCACCCTGGTCCTGCAGCCTCAAGCTCAACTCACAGACCCCGGGCGGCCTCTGGCTCCTTGGCCCATGTCTGTGATAATAGCTAGTTGCTGGCCCGACCCCCAAGGCCTATGACTGAGCTGGGAGGGCGGAGGGATGGAGGAGGGAGGAGGGAGCACGCTGAGCTGGCTTCCCAATCCCCACTTCCTGCTCCCGCCCCTCCTGCCTGGGGCTCTGCCTCAGAGGTACTGGGAGACATTTGGATCTTTAACTTCCTTGGGACCCTTGCTTGAGTCAAAAGCCCTGAGAGTTTAGACAAAGGGTCAAGGGCCTAGAAATACTTGGCGTAGAAATTGAAGGCAATGAGAGAGGGGGCAGGGCTCTCCATTACTCAGGAAAAGGGAGGCAGCGCTGGGAACTCCCGCAGCCCAGGTCTAGTTGGAGCCCAAGAGCCATCTGCCAAGAGCTACAGAGACAGGCAGGGTGGTGTGAGGGCACTGGTCCCCATCCTCCACAGGCATAAACTCTGGTCATCCTAACTCCCAGTACCAGTAACACGGCTAAGCTCTGCCCCCAGCACTTAAGTGCTGGACCAAGGATGACTTTTTCGCCCCTCCTCACCTAAAACCCTTCCTTTATTGATTCAACCCTTGGTCTCCTAAAGGAAGCTCCCTCACCCCAAGAGGCTTATGGTGCTCTGGGCCCTGCTTCAGTCCTTCCTAGCCTTGGCTCCCTGGGGCCAGAGACCCTGTGCAGTCGATGATGTCAAATGTCCCTCACCTTGGCTACCTTCCCAAAGGCTTTACCTCTCTCGGAGACCTGGAACCTCAAAAAGTGTTTAGATCCAGTATTTCTCCAGAGCCACTCTCCAGCCCAGGGAGAGCACGCAAGTTAGCAGTTAGGGGTGCTTGGCAGTGACACTGCTCTCCAGCCCACTACTTCTGGGACAGATTTAGGTCTGGGACTTCCTGGCTCCACTAGCAGCTAAAAGTACATCATCCCTCCTGCCTGGGTCGTTGACAGGGCTGTCTCTGGCCCAGGCTTCCTGTGCGTTTAAGCAAACAATCCAACAGCATATCAGGTCTGGAAGGAGCCCCAGAGATGACCCAATCCCATCTCTTAATCAGGGACATTGTGACCCAGGGTGATGAAGACTCTGGTACAAGGTCACACAGAGTGGAGTCCAAGTTGGGAGGACACTGGTGTGGCCTCCCAAAATGCCAGGACTACCAGGGAGACCCAGAAGAAAGCAGACAGAGAGACGATGGCCATATAGGGACCACCAGCAGTCCACACTGGCATGTCCTCTGTGTGTCCCTGGCTGAGCAGCATTCCTGGGGCACTGAGCCAGGCCTGCAAAGAGGCTGCCCACTTCAAGCTGCAGCCACCAGAGCAAAGGGCTGAGTCAGCAGCCCTGGGGGCGGGGACAGCACCAGACGTCTCAGTTCTCTGGTATAGAATGCTGGAAAAAACCACACAAGGGAAAAGATAGACAGAACAGCGAGAAGCAAGAGAAACGCATGGGCTTGTTGAAGGCTGTGTGCCTAGCACTGTGCACCCCACCATGCTTGGCACCCCACTCCAGGATCAGGCTGCTCACTCCACCTTAACAATCAAGGAGGCTCCAAGCCACTGACTCCAGTCATGTGGATGTTCCAGGCAGGTCAGGTAGATTTGAAACAGAGCTCCAGTCCCAGAGTAGACAGACTTGGATCATGGCTCTCTTGTGTGTCCTTCAAGCTGTGTGACCTTGGGTGTTGGGGAAGTTTCCTTACTTCTCCGAGTGTTTTGTTTGTTTTGTTTTGTTTTTCAAGACAGGGTTTCAGTATAGCCCAGGCAGGCCTCGAACTCACACTGTGTGTAAACCAGGCTGGCCTCGAACTCACACAGATCAGACTGACTCTGCCTCCCTAGTGCTGGGATCAAAGACGTGTGCCACCACCGCCTGGCACGTCTCTGAGTCTTAATGTCCCTGGAACAAACAGTCTTGACTCCAGAATTGTGGAGTGTCTGGAATAGCCAGTCAAAGGGTGCTCCTGGCTACCTCGGTTAAACCCTGTGTGCTGAGGGGTGTACCCGCTTTTCTCAGAGCACCTTCCAGTGGGAACCCCCAGATGCCCTCCATACTCTTCCATAAACCTCTATCAGTAAATCTGCACCCAGGCACAAGTAGCCGGAACCGTGCCACCAAGGCCAGAGTCCCACCGTGTGAGTCTGTTTCTCTGCTCACTCCCGCCCCTTCTGACTTCCAGGAGCCAGGACAGTGACTTGCTGACGCCAGACGTGTAAATCCTGAATGGTAATTCACAGTTGGAGAGCAAGGTCACTGCCAAATTAAGATCTGAACTAACGGAGAGGAGGGCGCCACCTCCTGGAGACAGCCAGCGTGCGGCCGGGCAACCAGTACCCTGCCAGTCCAGCCTGGCTGGAGAGCCAAGTTTATTCCTGCAAACCTCAGCACCCCAGAAAGTGGGCAGGGTTCCTCTGACATAAAACCCCCTGAGGACAGCTCCAGACTGACCTTACGGTGTCCCACTCTATTGAGTGACCCAGGCTAGACCCTCCAGGACCAGCCAAAAGAGACAACTAGGGAGAGACGACGGGTTCAAGATCACCAGGGCCCAAACGCGGAAGCCTAGTCCGGAGAGGAGCCGAGCATATCCGAAAAGAGACGAACAAAGCCGCCCAGCCGAGCAAGGCCGAGCAAAGCTGAATCCTGGCCGAGTGTAGCCGAGTAGAGCCGAACAGAGTCAATTCTTCCCGAGTCAAAACGAACAGAGCCGGGTGGGCTCCGACAGCGGCCGAATAAAGCCGAATCTGAGCGAAGAGGAAAATAGGGTGCTCTAAGGTATAGCGGCGCCCCCTGGCGGACACAGAAAGCACTGGGCTGACGTGAGCGGGAGTCGTCGGGTCACCTTACAGTCCTGTAAAATGGGATTGAGGGGTGCACTTCAGGAATAAAGAAACTGAAGCTCCGCCCGGGTCCGGGACAGGCTCAGGTGCACTCTGAGCTAGGAAGTGAAGGATCTGGAGTTCCCTTTGATTGTGTGTGGCCAAGAACACCCCTGTCACTTACAACCCACATGTAAGTCCGGTTGTGTTTAAACCCATTTATTGCGGTCAGGGCCTACAGAGACCTCCCTTGCGGAGATCTAGCAGAGCTCAGACACACCCGTAGTCTCACAGATGGAGAAACCAAGCCGGCTCCGGAGGAGGTGTTGACGAAGGGCAGTGGGGCGGCAGTTTCCATGAGCAAATATTGACACATTTCCTGGCCGTTAAAGCAGAAAGCCGAACTGAAAGAAGACATTCTGTCTCTTCCCTGCAAAGCTGTGAAACATCCTTCCCCCACTCAAGGCCTCAGTTTCCCCACCTGCAATAAGATAGTAGCAGAGGGTGTGGCCAGGACCCCAGGTGTGTGACCCCTGGAGCCGTGAGAGAGAAAAGGTGTTCACATGCAAATACCCCGATCCACCCCCATGCTACGGCACTCTGTCCAACGCTGCGGGATTCGGGGCGCTGGGCCTCTGGAAAGCAACCGAGGCCCTGTGTGGCCTGGGTATCTCCAGTGGCATTGTGTGCAACCAGGAAGCCGGCACAGGTGGTCTCAGAGCACCCCAACCCCCAGCATCACTTTATCCACTTAGCACTGGGGAGGCTGAGGCAGGAGGATGGCCCTCGGCCAGAGCTGGGAAAGCAGCGTTCTTGCTCTTCTTGCCGAGACACTGGGCAACAACTGTAACATCCCAGACCTCTCCAGAGGTCTTGCACGTCTGTCCTGTGGACACACTTCTGAAAACGCGTGTGTGGTACGTGTGGGACCAGGCACTGTTCAATGCTCGGCTTAACAACCCCAGCAACTTCCTAGCCCAGTGAGGAAGAAACTGAGGCAAGTAGAGGTTAACTTGCTGGCTCGGGGTCGGCAGCTAGTGCACGGATGGGCTGGGACTTGACCACGGACAGTCTGAGTCCACGGTGTCTACACACTGACACTCGCTGCTGCCCCTTCCTTGGCTCCTAGACAAACCATCTGACCGGTGGGCTGAGCCTTTAGCAGTGGACAGTGCCCACTCACCACGTGTTGCTTGAAGGATGAGCTTAGTTTGACAGGGGGCCCGAGGGAAGAGGCCACTAACACCATCTGCAAACGGTCCACGGTCGGAGCTTCAGAAACAAAAGATTATTGCGTTGGCAGGAGCAGCGGTGCACACCTGTCCCGCCAGCACTTGGGAAACTGAGGTAGCATTGCTACAAGGTCCAGGCCAGCCATGAAACAGAGAAAACAAGAGCTGAAGAGAAGGCTTAGCTGGTAAAGGGTCCCCTTTGCAAGTGTTAGGACCTGAGTTCAGATCAAATAGCAGCTCATGGTCACATGTACCTGTAGGCTTAGCACTGGGTCCAGTGAGATCCTGTCTCAATAAACAGGGAGAGCTTGGGGAAGGCCACCCAACATGGCCTTCGACCTACACATGTTTGTGCACACACACACACACACACACACACACACACACATACACACATACATGAGCTTATTGTGACTGAGTTCAGGGTCCAGAAGTCCAGGACTATACAGTGTTCTGCCTGCATGTATGCCTGCACACCAGAAGAGGGCACCAGATCTCATTATAGATGGCTGTGAGCCACCATGTGGTTTCTGGGATTGAACTCAGGACCCCTGGAAAAGCAGCCAGTGCTCTTAACCTCTGAGCCATCTCCCCAGCCGGGTTTTTAAGGCAGGGTCTTACTATATAGTACAAACTGACTTTGAACTCAAGGTAATGCTCAGCCTCCCAAATGTTGAGGTGGCAGGTATGTGCCACCCTACCCCTTCACCCTGATCTTTACCTGTGTGCTGTTCTTGTGTGTGTGTCCAAAGCTCTTTTCCTAGGGACACACGTTGTACTGAGTCTCCCTGTGGCTTCCTTCCCCCACTTACAATGGCCCTGTTTCCAAAAGAAAGGAAACGGCTAAATTTCAGCGCAGGGACTGGGAGGAGCATAACGCAGCCGCAAACAAGAGCGACCTCTCCAGGACACCGCGCCTTTGCCCCCTGCCTCACAGGGGGCTTCACTTCCACTCTTCCCTCCCTGGCCTGACCCCCTGCGTTACCTGACTGTAGAGCCTCAACGCATGCCATCCCGCCTGGCATACCCAGGCTCCACACCGGCCTCTGTGCGCACCCACGATGATGCTCTCCCAGTACACACCTGTACTCTCGGTCCCCACCACGCCCGAAGGGTAGCAATTCACAAGCGGCCACTTGGGAATGTCCAAATGGGGAAGCTATGCCCATGTACCCCAGCCCCCGTCCCTCCACGACAGCCCAGTGGCAGGCTGGCACTCAGAGCTCTCTGCTAACTAAGTGAACTATGTTCAGAGAAGTGATAGTGTCGCACAGTAGGTTCACAGTAAAGTGGAGCCTAAGGCTCAGGATAACTAATTTTGGATCTCTCTCTCTCTCTCTCTCTCTCTCTCTCTCTATATATATATATATATATATGTATGTATGTATGCATGTCTGTGTGTATGCATATATGTGTATATGAGTATATATACATATATTTAAATTTATTTTTATTTCTCTCACGTGTGTGTATATATGTGTATATACACATAATTTTAAATTTATTTTTATTTTGTGTGTGTGTATACACTATGGAACACATGTGGAGATCTTGGGACAACTGAAAGTCAGTTCCCTCCAAGTGCCCTTGGAGGCTGTAAGAGGGCCTCAGATCCCTAGGACTGGTTAGATGCATCTGTGGGCTGCCTGTCATGGGTTCCAGTCCTCTGGAAAAGAAGCAGGCACTCTTCCTAACCTCTGAGCCCCCTCTCAGGACTTTGAGCTCATCCATTCCCCCACAGCTTTGCAGCAGACTCCCCAAGAGCCTGAGGGTCGCCAGCAGCAAGAAGAGGCTTTGTGAGGGCACTTTCCCACCTCTAAGAGGCCCCTACAACGCAGCCCGGGTCCCTCTACTCAACACTTTTCTGTGTCTGAGGTTCTGTGGAGCCCAGTTGTCACCTCCCTTTGGGACAGTGGCCTACATCATCTTCAGATAAGGGGGCATCATCTTCGGATAAGGGGGGGGGGTCCCAACAATCTGTAGCCTTGTCCTCTGCAGCCTCAGGGTCTGCAGACTCCAAGCTCTCCTCCCGTCACGCTGTCGCTGATGCACAAAGTCCGATCCAGACGCTGGTGGCCATGGGCCGTTGCCTGGCAACCACCTCTGAGCGACAAGGTAAGTCAGCACCTTCCTTCCGTCTGTCGCTGAAGAGGAGGACGGAGGCAGGCTTGGCTGTCACTGCCTTTGTTCCTCTGCTCAGGATGAAATCATAAATTCTAGTCCCCAAACCCACAACAAGTTCCTTGGGTTCACCTTGCTTGCCCTTATTGATGCCCAGTCACGATTCCAAAGCAGGCTCTCCATGTGTGACTGTGGCCCCAATGGCCCTGTCCACGGGTTCATCCCAGAGACTCATGGGAAGGGCCACAGCTGCCCTGCCAGGCCCTGGAGACACAGCTGCATGCCCCCAACCCTGCAAGATCGAGGTTTTCAGGTCAACGTGGACATGTGCCCATGCACTTGAGCATGCCCCAGTGGTGGCTCTCGGTGACAGAAAGCTCAAAGTCATAGGAGCAGAAGAGAAACTCCAGCCCACGTGGACACTTCCAGGTAACACCCAGCAGCCCACATGGACACTTCCAGGTAACACTCAGGCACTGGCTGGTTCCTTATTTGTACCTGCACACACTTGCCTGATAGAACACTTTGGACGTGTGTTTATATGGCTCGAACACCTACTACATGCCACCACACGCTGAACAAAGCTGCACACACACACACACACACACACACACACACCCCTGTATGATTGTACCTACACATAGTAGCCACAGGACGCCTATGCACACCCAGCCTACTGCTGCTGTCTGGCCCTTCCTCCCAGGTCTCTGCCCCTCCCACTACCCCACGGGCCAGATGACGCTGTCCATCACACACTGTCTCACTTCTGTCTGGTGTAAAGGTAGACACTGACCAGTCATCACTCTCATGGTCTTGTCTTTGTTGATTGGCCCAGGAGACCATCATGTCTCTTAGTTGTAGCCAATTGAGATTTGCTGTTTGGATAATTGTAAGGAAGGGTGTCTATTGTTTCCGGTGTTGATCTTCAAGGGCATCTGCATGACCCTTGAGGACTACGAAGCCATAAGAAAAGAAGCCATACAACTGTACACTCACCCATCAGGACACACAGAGGAAACGGCTCAGTCACTATCTTTATTGACAGGAGCCAGGGTCAGAAGCAGAGAAGGATTTCCCAGGTGGCCATCCGCACCCCTTAGCAAGACACAGCTCCCCTGTGCCACCCCGGAAGGTTGCACTGCAGACTTCCTCCTCCTGAGGTGGCCTGCATTCTCTCTGACCCTTGACCTCTGAGCTTCTGCACCCGATTTCTCATTAATACCTCCACCCCAGTAGCTGACACAGAGACAACTCACTGGATGGGCAGGACGCGGGCTGAGCCTGAGTTGGGGGTACCTCCACTTTATATCCCGTAGGAAGCCCCACTGTGGTGGGCAGCGGCTTACCCAGCGTGACTCAGTTCCCTGCAGGATTCCAACAGACTGGTGATCTGGGGAACTATATCCACGCCTGTGGCGAGGATGCTGAGGCTCAGAGATGGAGGGCCTGCTAAGCTGCTTGAAGTGAATAAAAGGTCCGGGTTTCTCGGCTTCTGGATTTGTGGGTTCCCTGAGGACCTTACCTTTGCAGAGTAGGGTAAGGGTTTAGGTAGAAACTCCCACCTCTCCAGGGCCAGCTTTGTTAGAACCAAGAAAGGGTCATCTCTGGGAGGGGGAGGGTAGAGTCCCAGCCCAGCCTGGGGCAGTGGCCACGCCCCATGGCAGCCCTTTGGCCTCTTTGCAACATCTGGAGCCCCAGGGAACACAGAAGATGGGGAGGTCTGACCCCCACCAGGAGCTTACCACCCCTCCCTATCGCCCTGAGTAGCCAAGCCCACCCCCAGGATCTCCCACTGTGGCCTGCGTACCTCTCACCAGGGCCACAGACCCTCCAGGGGCCCTGCCTAGACCTTTCCTGATCACCGCTGGTGCTGCAACTGAGCTTAGCCCAAGGGGCAAAGTTTGGCTGGAGGTCACTGCACAGCTCCATCCTCTCCCTTCCCCCCTCCCCCTCCCCTTCCCCTTCCTACGGTCTCAGCTCCCTCTCCTTCATCTTGGTCATCCTTTTCCTATCTCTCCTCCCCTTAGGCTACCGCACAGTCTCTGCCCTAGGGACCAGTTACCTGACCTAAATAGGGTGAGTCAGGCTGCGGGTGCCTTGTGAGGTCCCTCCCCCACAATAGGAACACAAAATTAGAAGCATAAGTCAGATGGAGGCCCCAGAGGAGCCCAAGCGTGAGAACCCCCAAGCTTGGCTTCATCTGCCTTCTGAAAATGTCTTTCCCTCGCGCCCAGGAGCACAGGAGGCCCAGTACTGAGACATTGGGATGAGGGCCTGGAGGACACTGGGCTGTCCAGCAGGAGAGGTAGGAAGCCTAGGCAGGAACAGAGTGGCCAAGGCCACTCAGCGGCATGGGAAGGGCTGACCTGAGTCCCAAGCAGTGCCATCCCAATTTACGCTTCCTTTGGGCTTCAGCCACCGGTATCCCTGGCTCCCCAAGCCTGGTGCATCCCTGAGGGCCAATATACAGACTGACCCCCAAGACACCTTGCTTCTTGGTCAGCCTGCCTACATCACCTTAGCTTGGCCCCTGCTCAGAAAAGTACCCCCAGCAATGATACCCTCCAGACCCCTCTTATGACAGGGCCATCCAGGCCTCATTATACCCATCCCTGAGTCAGAAGAAGAAAGCAAGGCCCAGAGAGGGCGAATGACCTGCCGAAGCTCACACAGCAAGTCCTAGCACTGGGGGACAGAACCCAGGCCTCTGAACACTCCATCACTGGACCCTGGTACCTCGGTGGCCCAAAGACAGTCGGGACCGCTGTGTAAATGAAGTCACTTCAGCCGCTGCTTTCTCAGACCACCGCATGTGGCTGGCACTCATGTCCCTAGGCCAGGCACAGCCTCTGCCCTTCTCTGGGCCACGCTGATCCTTTGAAGTCCTTACAGGTGGCTCAGGGTGCCAGACTTGTCCCCAGCTGTGGCCTCGTGGGGTAGAAACTGCTGCTCCTGGGCAGTCCCTGTGCTGGGCTCCTGTCCACTGGCGCCAGGCTGTGCAATCTGACCGGGCCTTCCGTTCATCTCCTTCCTCCTCCGAGCCCTGCGCTCCTCCTCTTCCCGCCCCTCTTCTTCCTCTTCATCCTCTTCCTCCTCCTCCGTCTTCTCCGGAGGGCCGGACCCTGGCTCCTGGCTCCGTACACGGCGCGACGGTCTCAGCAGGATCCTGCGGAAGCCCTGCTTGAAGCGGTAGGAGAGGAAGCCGTAGAGGATGGGATTGGCACAGCTGTTGGCGTAGGGCAGTGCCACCACCAGGAAGTAGAGGCCGAAGAAGGCGGGCTCCTCGGGCAGCGGGCACACCACATTGATGATGTTGAGCAGGTAGAAGGGCATCCAGCAGAGGACGAAGAGCGCCACCACGGCCACCACCATGCGTGTGACCCGGCGCTCAGAACGCCGCCGCCGCTGGCATGAAGGGGGCTGGACCCACTGGCAGGACGGCGCCCGGACGCGCCGTGCGGTCGACCGCACCTTCACCACAATGAGCAGGTAGCACAGGCAGATGATCAGCAGCGGCCCAAAGAAGCCCAGTGCCGCCGTGTAGATGATGAAGGCCGCTCGCCAAGCAGCCGCTGGCTCTGGCCACTGCATGTGGCACGTGCTCATGCCCCGGGGCACCCCTGAGAAGACAACCACAGGCAGCACCACCACGGCCGAGGCCACCCAGACGGCTGCACTGACTGTGCGGGCCACAGGGGCCGTGCGCCAGCGGGCAGAGCGCGTGGGGTGCACCACCGCCAGGTAGCGGTCCACACTCATGACGGTGAGGCAGAAGATGCTGGTGAATTGGTTGATGCCATCCACGGCCATGACCAGACGGCACATGAGAGAGCCGAAGGGCCAGTAGGACAGGGCATTCTGAGCAGCCAGGAAGGGTAGCCCGAGCATGAAGAGCTCGTCGGCTAGCGCTAGGTTGAGGATGTAGACGCTGGTCACCGATGGGCTGGCCGTGTGCCGCAGTACCACATAGATCACCAGCGAGTTGCCCAGCAGACCCACCACGCACACCACCAGGTACACCAGAGAGATCAAGATGCCACTGACAGCCAGGCCCGCCGGGCTAGCTCCAGCAGATGATGCATTCCCCAGGCTAGCATCCAGGGGCCAGGCTGAGGATGTGTTCCCAGGGTCCGAGGTTGTGGGCACTGATGGAGGGTAGGCAGCAGTGGCCATGGCCAAAGAGAAGTCGGTCAGCAATCAACTAGTCCTGGCCTGCAGGAGGGAGAACACGGCTCAGTTGTGTCAGAGAATCCTTTCTTGGTGCCACGCCACCAAGAGACCTACTGTGTGCCAGCTCTGCACAGCCCAGTAAGGCAAGGGATGCTATTCCTATTTCTCAGATGAAACCTCCCATCCTCCAAACTCCAGGTGAAAGCTGATATAGATGTGTCCTTTCTAGCAGAGTCCAGAACTTTTCTCAGATTTCTATTTCACACAGGATTGCGATGAGCTGATGGTGTCCCCTCACCTGGGAGTCAGAGCCCTCAGCACCTCCCTGACCCGGCCATCACATGGGGTCCCCTACCTAAGGCCCTGCCTGGAGGGATGACTATGAACGTGAGAGTGGGTGTCTGGACCCCTTCTCCTCCCAGGCATTCTGGCGATGAGAAATTTGCAAGAAATCTGGAAGCTGCATCCCCTGGCTGCAGGGCTGTGGGGACTGGGCTGAGCAGGAGAGGGCATCAGCTGGCAGGAGTGGACATTCCCAGGTACTTGGTGAGGTCCTTTTATCCAGACTCTGTGCCTGGCCTCAGGGACTCTGCCGGGGCTCCTCTACTGGACTCAAATCTCCTGCGTCACTGACAGCCATCCAACCCTGGGCCGTTTCCACCGTCCCCACTTCTCACTTGGCGCTGATCATGCTCTGCACCAGTGAGTGAGGCATCAGATGAGTCACAGGAGCCCGGAGTGGGCAGTCTTGTGAAGGAGTGGGCTGCAGAGTGGGGACCAGGGGGAAGGGAACTCCTCTACCTCCTCTACTGCTTCTAGAACTCCCTGTTACGAGGCTAAGAGCAGTCCCTCCCGTTAGCCTGACCCTCTGCCCATCCTTTTCAGCCAAAAGCCTTTTTGTCTGCCCCTACCAATTCCTTTGGGATCCTGGATCCTTAGTGCTTCCAACTGCAGCCTGCAGCATGGGGTGAAGGAGAAGTCTCTAAGCTTAGAGACTTATCCTTCTCAATTCTGTGTTGACCTACTATGGGTCTGGACCCCTCCACTAGAAACTGAGAGTGCTTTGGGAATCCCCATGAGACTCTGAAAGTAGGAACACCCAGCTCCCATCATGCTGCTGAGTAGGGAGCATAAGCAACAGCTCCAAGTGCCAAGCTGGTGACGCCAAGGACGGCAAAGGATCCCTGGCAGAGTGCCAAGGTTCTTCCCTGCTACACTCCAGAATGGCTAGGCTTCCAGCACCCTCCAGCCTCCTGGCTCAGGGAACCCCAGTGGTTCTCACCCTGCTGCACCTCAGCTCTCTGGAGCTGGGTTCGGTGAGGCTGGGCAGTGAGCTGTGGGATCGTGTAGTCTCTTCACAGAGCTGTCTGTTCCCTTGCTGAGCTCTGACCCCAGAAGACTTCAGGAAAAGCTGGTGTCTCAGAGCCAGAGCACCAAGAGTTCCTGCTGTCCTCACCAACTGGCCAGGAGCTAAGGGGGAGTCCCAAGACTCTGGCCACAGCCAGAAAGGGGCATGTGTAGCAGGACCTGTGACCTGTCACCCTATCTTGCAGACAGGCAGACTGAGGCCATGCTGGCTTCACTATCCTGCTGGCCTAGGCAGAGCTTGCCACCTGGTGTCTGTGCTCTTGAACTCTGGGCCATGGGGCCCAAAGCCTCAGGCCCATAGGAGCCTAGAGATGGGAATTTAATTCCTGGAACACAGCCGTGGTTCTCAGAGCCAGGTTTTCAGGCCCCGTGACTTTTAATCAGAGAATGTCGCAACTCCAGAGAGCTGGAGTCAAACCATCGCAGGCCAGGAACTGTGGGGTCTAGGACCTCACATTTCTGCTCACAGGGTGGAGATGGGACACTCTGCATCACCCGGCCATCCTACCCACGTGCTTCTCCAAGTGCCTCTTTCTAGCTTTCCCTCCGTGTGGTCAATCAGAGAGTCTCAGGGCTGCAGGAGAAAGGAGTGTGCCAGGCACTGTGGAAGAGCTGAGAGCCAAGCAAACCTCATTTCCAGGCTTCAGGCACAGATGCCCTCGGGGAAGCCCAGGGTGTGCTCCAAGGATGGCCCCTCCAGCCCCACACAGGTACACTCGTGAGCCTGCAGAAGCACATGCATGTGTGTGCATGCATGCACACACACATACTCACACAACACACACACACACACACACACACACACACACAGAGGAACACAACTACCCAACCAGGCCCTCCTCAGGGGTGGAGCGTCCCTCTTGGTACCCTGGCTTCCCTCCAAGGTACCCTCCTTGCTGTCAAAGTTGATAGGTCAGGCAGGTGCCAGAACACAGAAACCACATCTTTTCACCAGGGAAGACAGACCTGCAATTCCGATGCCGTCTTTTCTTTAAGGATCTGGAATCCTATGCCTGATCTAATTCCTCCTTGGAAGGGAGGGAGGAACTTTGCCTGCCTGTCTGGTTTATCTTTGGCACAAGCTTGCCTGAAAGCTGGGGGTGGAATCTCCTCAGGGGACTGTTCAGGAGTGGAGACACACACAGAGAGGGTGAGTTACTGCTCCCAAGCCCCACAGCAACTAAGCATGGCCCCTCGGGCATGCCAAACACCCTGGTTGCTCTTATTTGCCTCTCATTCAACCCCTACCCCTCCAAAGTGCTTTCACTCAGCTCTTAGCCTGGCACCCGGATCTCAGTAAGTACTAACATAAACAAGCGAGTTAGAAGTAGAACTCAGAAGCTCAAGGGTGTTCCTGGGCCAAGCCTTCAAATTCACACCCTGAGACCCTAGCAGAGCCCAGAAAGAGGGATGAGGGAGGAAGGTGGAGCTCAGAGAGGTCAAGTGACTTTCACAAGGTTACCCAACTGGAGAGTGAGAAATCAGAGTCAAATCTTGTCTGACTACTGGGCCATGCTGCCTTCCTTAAAGGCCTCCGGTCTAGAATTGTCAGAAGTTAATGCAGGCTGAAGACCCCTGGCTGGCTCCGCCATCCACCTGTTCTCTGCGCCCCTGGACCTTCCTCCAAAGAGACTGGGGTTTTGTTAGTCAGCAGTGACTGACACGAGCCCTAGGCCTAGGGCCTGACACTCAGGAGCACCCCCTCAAGCCCTGAGCTGGGGCCTTAGGCTCTGCTGAAGGCAGACTGCTATGTGACCCACCTTGGACAAGTCACTTGTCTCTGGTTCTAGTCCCCTCCTCCTACAATGGAGGCGTGCTTACCCACCTCCCAGAGTTGCTGCAAAGGCGGAGGGGGCCACTCCCAGCACGAAGGGGCGCTCACGAGCACCGCCACGCAGACACGGACAGCAGCATGCATCTGGCCTGGTCCAGTTCTGACATTCTGCTGTATGGAGGAGGCGCCAAGATTCTGGAGTGACGGCACAAGATGCTGAGATTAATAGCCCTTCCCACCTTACAACCCACACAGAGTTCACCAAAAAGCCTCTCTCATTGCTTTCTGGAACTCTCCACCCTCTGTCAGCCATAGGATCGGCCCTACATTCAACCCGGTCACAGAAAGGGCCTAGGTACCCCACCACCCAAGATCCCCATAAGCCCAGCCTCCTTACCTGCCCACAGGGCAAGAGCTCCCTTTGTAGTCACCAAACTAGGTAACATTCTGCAGCCAGGCACCACTAGCCAACCAGCTGGGGTCCCACACGGTGCCCACTCCTCCAGTGCTCGGGCCCTTCCTGGCCCCTTCCTGGGCCCTCAGCGGCCACGTCAACCCACATTGCCTCTCCCATCTGGTCCCCAGCCCTCACTTCCCACCTGCACCTCCTACGTTATCCCCGATCTCCAGGACACAGAATGGGGTCTTCAAGAGACACCCAGTGAGGGACGGCAGGAGTCCCTTCCCAAGGTGACAGGAATGTGAAGAGAGCAGGGGACATAAGAAGCCAGTAGAAATCAGAAAAGGAGGGGTGGGTCGGAGGTGGAGAGACAGGAGAGGGAGAGGAGACAGTGCGTGGGTGGAGAGGCAGAACGAGGGGGAGTAAGGAGAGATCCCTGGCAAGGAGAAGGGACAGAGGAGGAAAGAGGAGAGGAGAGAACGGACAGACGGAGGAGCCGGGAAAGACGCAGAAAAAGCCAGGGACAGAGGGAGGCAGGAGGAAGGAGAAAGAGGGGGTGGTAGGGACAGTGACAGAGAAGGATTGTGCCACAGATGGTGACATGGAGAGCCAGCAGGGGGGGGAGCAGGAGGGTGCGGGAGGGGCCAGGAGGGGACGGGAGGAGGGGCTGAGGGCTGGACAGTAGGTGCCAGACTGAGGGGCAGCAGGTTAGGGGCGGAGGCCGGGAGAGGGAGAGGCAGATCCCGTTACCGAGGAGATTTCAGCCACCCACGCTGGCCTTGGCTCCCGCGGGGACTTAGAAGAAAGAGGGGAGCAGTGGAGAGGGGGAGCTGCCTGCCAGAGGCAGGACAGCTCCAGATCCCCGGGACATACTCCTCTGTGAGGGAGGGGGGCGGCGCGGCGGGATGAGCGGGATGAGAAGGGAGAAGGCAGGATGGGCACCGAGATGTAGGCTCCGATAATCCCAAGGGCAGCGGTACAGGTCCAGGAGGAGGCAGATAAGGGACTGTGATGCTGGGGTCAGTTGAATCTGGACAGAGGAGCAGAGAGATGGGATAGGAAGTAGGGATTTGGGGCTTTGAGAACCAATAAACAAAAGTCAAAGATACACAGCGAAAACACAAATTCCTATTCTTTGAACTGATGCAATTTGAAATATAGCAACTGCATTTGAAGGCAATTGTTCATAACACATCGACCAATGAGTTCCCTGGGAGGGGGACTATTTGGCTTTATTGGAGCATAAAGGCGGTGGTCCCCAACATCATATTGCTCGTGGGTCCCCACCTACATAAGCCCCTCATCCTTGACTGGTAAACCGTACAGACCAAACTGTAAACAGTGGCTGTCTGTGGCCACTGCTGGTCTAAAGTGGACACGGGTTCTGAGCAGCTCTGAGTGTGTCCTCAGAGTCCAGGGCGGGGCTTCTTGAAGCCGCCTTTCTTTCTTTTTAAAGATTTATTTATGCATTTTGTGTAGACCAGTTCTCTATCGGCATGTATGATTTTATGCCTGAAGAGGGCATCTGATCCCACTAAAGATGGTTGTGAGCCACCATGTGGGTGCTGGGAAATGAACTCAGGACCTCTGAGCCATCTCTCCAGTCCCGGAAGCTGTCTTTCTCTGCTCACAATCTTCTGCGGCTCTTTGGTGCAGTCACCCACAGCCTACTCTCCTGTTGCCTGCCATCTACAACTTCCCTTTACCTCCCCAAGCTCTGAATTTATCAGCTCCACTCATTCATTCACTTGTCAGTTCATCCTCAGACGCTGTTGCCTCCAGTCTTGTTCCAGCCTCTAGGGAGGAAAGGGATGCGGCTAGCTGTTGTAATTTTAAAAATGCCTAGAAGAGAAGCTATGCCACACAACAGGACTCACATAGGATGTTACTGGAAGAGGATCGAGAGGAGGCAGAGGGGGGGGGACACAGACCAGTCCCTGGGGACAAGAATGGTAGGAGAGAGAGAGAGAGAGAGAGAGAGAGAGAGAGAGAGAGAGAGAGAGAGAATTGAGGAGAGACAGAGAGAGAGAGAGTTGGGAGGTAGGCAGGGCTCCTTTAAAAGGGAACATAGTGAATGTGCACAGGTGGTGCTCTTAGTGGGCGCAGCTGAGGGTGCGTCCTGTCAGAATCCCAAGGGCAGGCCAGTACAGATGCCTGAATACTAACACTAGCCCTGGGCAGATAATCCAAACCCTATCACTAAAGATAAAGTTCAACCTTCCAACCTTGGCTGGGACTAAAAGGAAATGGGGCCAAGACAGGGCTAGGAACCGTGAGGGTGGACGAGGAGCTGGCCTCTCACCAACCAAGAATCTAGGCAGGGAAGTCACAGCCAAGCTCAGTGTTGCTCTTGCTGGTTGAAGGTTTTAACTTGTGTACGGTTTTACCTTTCCTTTTCCTGGAATATACTTGACATTTGTTATCATTGTATATAGTTTTTGCATCAGGCTTAAAACCTTCTTTAGACTAAAGGGGGAATTGTAGTGGCATCTCACCTTGCCAAGGAATCTGTGTTAGTGGCCACACCTCTTTGGGTGTGACTTCAGGTGTGTAAGGACTAGAAGGTGAAGAAGCAGGGGTGGGGACTCTCTCTGTCTCTGTCTCTCTCTCTGGTCGGGGATCGGATCAGAATGGCAGAGACTGCATCATCTGTGTAAGTTGTTCACCAATGAAACACCCATTTATCATTTATCTTGAGCCTAGTGAATTCATTAATGCCCTGCCTTCAGCAGGGAAGTCACATCCAAACCTCGGCAGACTTGCGTTCAGCTTGAGATCTAGTCCTCTCAAACTGGATGCGCCAGGAGCTTCTGAGAAAGGAAGGGAGGATCTGTGCTGAAGAGCAGGGCAGGAGAGGAGGCCAGTCAGGAGCCTCGGGGTCTTCCCACAGGCTGTGCCTGCAGTGGGAATACTGATTTTACTCCATCCCCATATGTGTGGGACCAACGGTCATCAGGTTGACAGTTCTCACCCAGGACAGGGAGTTTCACTCCCCAGACTCCCAAAGTGTGTCCTCACAGCCATGATGTGCTTCGTGATGACGCATCTGAGGGTGGAGCACGAATGTTTTCTGTATTGGGCTGTCAGTTCTCCCAAGGGCAAGCTCTGTCCAGGTACCCAAGGTGACCCTGGGCTGGCACCAGCCTAGCACACAGTTGGCATTCATCCCATGACTAGTGAAATAGGATGGAAGATGGATGCATGTATGCATTTATGGGCACATGAATATATGCATGGATGCATGAATGGATAGATGATGGGTGGATGGAGAGAGGATGGATGGATGGACGGACGGATGGACGGACGGACGGACAGACGGACGGACGGATGGATGGATGGATGGATGGATGGATGGGTAAGTGGATGGGTAGGTGGATGGGTGGGTGGATGGATTGATGGGTGGGTGGATGGATAGAGGATGGATGGATGGATGGATGGACGGACGGATGAATGGACGGACGGATGGGTGGGTGGATGGGTGGGTGGATGGATGGACTCACAGAGTTCATGGGTGGGTAAGTGGGGAGAGGGGATCAATAGATAGTGAGTAGCAGAGGGACAAGAAGGGACACCTGTTTCCTGAGGGCACACTGGAAGCACGAGAGGAGGTAAAAGGTGTCCTACACAACAGACTGGGGTCAACCCTTCTCTCCGAGACTTCTGCCAGCAAAAGTGACCTAGGGCTTCTGTTGAGCCCTTTCTCTAATAAGCCAAGGCAGAGAGGGGAAAATTCTGCGAGCAGGGGACACTAGGGACCCAGAGGGACCCCAGAGAGATGGTCCTGCCCTTGGCAGTTGAGGTTATAAAAACCTGTGGCTCAAATCCCCGACCCCAGGCTGGACCTGACCTCCAGGGCTGTCAGACTGCAGAGGCTCCGGCTGGCTTTCCCATAGAAAGACCAACCCCATGTGATCTTGGCCAAAACCATGGTGGTGTCACCTCCACCCCTACACTAGAGGGCTCCCATGGCCAACAATAGTGCCTCTGCCATCAGACAAGAGGAGCCCAGATCCAGCCTCCTCCCCTCCCTGGGAGTCAGAGAAAATCCTCCCCTCCCCTCCCAGACAGTGCCTAGGCAGGAGCTGGCCTGGGGCCTGAGAGACACCTAGTTACCAAAACAGGCCCATCTTCTAAACATAAGATGCCCTTCTGGCCCTATTCTGGACCGTTCTCACTAATGTCCCCATCAAGGGTGTTTGGGGGTTTGTCACCCCCTGCTGGCTCCTTCTCAACTTTGCTAAGTACTGACTGTGTGACTACAAATATGTGACTGACCATTCCTGAGGTTATGCAGGTAACAGGATGAATCACCCCCACCCCCAAGACTGCAACACTTTTGGGAATCAGTCACTTCTGCATGTGAGGGACCCAGGAACCTTGACACAGGACAGAGGGTGTTTCAGTCCCAGCTCTGTCCCCAGCCACATGACTGCAAAACCCCTCTTGGAACTTCAGTGTTCTTCTGCAGAAGAGGCCACCTGGTGACCCAGCTGCAGGAGATCTGACCATGGTTAGCCAGAGGCAGAGGAAAGGCTCATGGGATAGCTCCCCCCAACCCCCATCCCTGCACTAGCTTCATCTGAGCTCTCTTTGTCTCTGTGTCTCTCTTCTCTGTCTCTCTCTGTCTCTCCCTGTTTCTCTCTGTCTCTGTCTCCCTGTGTCTCTCTGTCTCTGTCTCCCTGTGTCTCTCTGTCTCCCTCCCTCCCTCCCTCCCTCCCTCCCTCCCTCCCTCCCTCCCTCCCTCCCTCCCTCCCTCCCTCCCTCCCTCTCTCTCTCTCTCTCTCTCTCTCTCTCTCTCTCTCTCTCTCTCTCCTCTCTTTCTCTCACCTGGCTGACCACCAGCCTCTGTGGGACTCTAAGAGTGCCAGCCCTCCCCAGTGCTGCGTTTTCACACTGACTTTCTTTTATTAACTAAAAGTACTTGAAAATCAAGAAGGACACTGTGACCTTCCCTTCTCTCTTTGAAAGCAGAGGCTGAAGGCCGGGAGAAGCAGCCTCCCAGCACCAGGAGGGCTGTATCCCGATGCTGGTTACCAGGCAGGGCTGGGGAGGGGAGGGTCTATAGAGCATGGCTTCTTTTTAACCCTCATCTTCCCATTCGACAACCACCATGCTCTCTACCCAGTCCATGAGCACTTGGACTTGAACTTTGTTGCCTGTGGGAGAAGTGGGGGGGGATTCCTATACCGTGCACACTAGAACAATTCCCATGCTTTCCTCCCACCAATCTGTCTATGTCCGTTTCCTTCTTGGCATGGCCAAAGACCCTTAGACAGCAGATTGAAATCAGCCCGCTCGGGAAGAACATCGAATCTATTAAAACGCTGAGTGACAGTGTGACTCCTCCAGACTTAACGGCCACCTGTCACTCACTGAGTAAGTCCCTACCACTGTGTTCAGTGCTAGCCTGCCTCTACCGACCTTTACTTCCTCTTCCCCTCCTGTAGTTACTGGCACACCGCCAATGCAGCCTGAACATCATGAAGGCCCCGGGCCCTCCCTCCGCCCCCATGTCTCCCTTCCTTCACTCCCAGCAGGCCTAGGCACTGCCCGCTCTGCGGCACGCCTCCTCCCCGGGGTCTCCTTTTCGTCTGTAATGCAATTATTTTTCATTTCTAATTTGCTCTTGTGTTCTTCAAGCATTATTTGCAAACACGTTTCTGAGTCCTGTTGTGCTAGAAGGTTGTAAACGACAAGCTACGGCCATCCTCCAGAGGCCCTCTTACCCCTCCCCAGTTTGTCTCAGAGGCAGCACTGACCTTTAGCAGTGTTTATGTACACACACGTCCTAAGCATCATTCCACTCTCTCCAAACACCCCACCCAGCTCACACACACACTCACACACACACACTCACACACACACACACTCACACACACACACACTCACATACGTTGTATTTTTGAGATAGGGTTTTACTACGGAGCCCAGATTAACATTGCATACTCCTGCCTCAACCTTCCAAGTTTTCTAAGTATGGGCCACCCCACACAACAGGGATTTTTTAAAAAATATACTTAATGGGTATGAGTTTTTGCCTGAATATGTCTATGTACAAGTGCTTGGTGGTGCCAGAGAGGGCCAGAAGAGAACACCAAATGGGTGTGTGTGTGTGTATGTGTGTCTGTGTGTGTGTGTCTGTGTGTGAGTGTGTGTGTCTGTGTGTGTGTCTGTGTGTGTCTGTGTGTGTGTGAGTGTGTGTGTCTGTGAGTGTGTGTCTGTGTGTGTCTGTGAGTGTGTGTGTCTGTGAGTGTGTGTCTGTGTGTCTGTGTGTGAGTGTGTGTGTCTGTGTGTGAGTGTGTGTGTCTGTGTGTGCCTGTGTGTGTGTCTGTGTGTGAGTGTGTGTGTCTGTGAGTGTGTGTCTGTGTGTGTGTCTGTGAGTGTGTGTCTGTGTGTGTGTGAGTGCGTGAGTGTGTGTGTCTGTGAGTGTGTGTCTGTGTGTGTGTGTCTGTGAGTGTGTGAGTGTGTGTGTGTCTGTGTGTGAGTGTG